TAGTAACAAAACCTTAACATGTAAACCAATGGGTATGTGCTAATTCCAGTATCTTACCAGATGTTGCTCACATCATTGTTTCATGTTTCTTATTTTCATAAGAAACATGAAACATAAGGTGGATAAAAGACACCTGTCCACAACCTCAAACAGTCACACTCCAAACTCCACTATGGCCAAGACCAAAAAATGCTAACAGTAGCTTTGCCAACGTTAAGTTCAAGTTACCAAGTTTAAATAAACCAAAAATAACAGCAAACAGACCAGCACAGAGAGACTGCTACCACCAAAACAGCTCTCCTAATGTCTGAAAGAAGCTCCTTTATGAAGGGAGAAACGCTCCCGGTGATTTTCTACATCTGCCGTAGAGACGAAGCAGCGCATCTGACCCCGGAAGTTGTTGTCCGTTGCCGGGAGACGAAGGCGGGCAAAACAGGAAAGGAATCTAGTAGTGGACGGACATTGTTCCGGGTCTTCGGTATTTGGCGGAGATGTTAGTGAAGGTGGAGAAGAGGGCGAACTAGAGGAAAAACAGGCAGATTCCTCCTCTCTTTACAAACTCCTGGGGATGCAACAAGTGGGCGTGGTGCGTCGACTGCCGGATCTGACGTCGACGAATTTTTAGAATCGAGCCGTCGACGTCATCGAGGCTTCGCTACAGCCCTACAAAATAGATCTTTATGGTAAACATTCTACTCATCATATTTGAAGGAAAAATAATGCTGAGTTGCATCCAAAGAACACCATACCTACTGTAAAGCATGGGGGTGGAAACATCATGCTTTGGAACTGATTTTCTGCAACGGGACCAGGACGACTGATCCATGTAAAGGAAAGAATCAACCGGGCCATGTATCATCAGATTTGGAGTGAAAACCTTCTTCCTTCAGCAAGTGCATTGACGATGAAACATGGCTGGGTCTTTCAGCATGACAGTGATTCCAAACACACAACCCGGGTCATGAAGGAGTGACTTCATTAGAAGCATTTTAAGGTTTTGGAGTGGCCTAGCCAGCCTCAAGATCTCAACCACAGAAAATCTGTGGAGGGTGTTAAAAGTCTATATTGCTTAGTGACAGCCCCAAAACATCACTGCTCTAGAGGAAGGGGACAAAATGCCCGCAACAGTGTTGAAAACCTTGTGAAGACTTACAGAAAACATCTGACCTTTATCATTTATAACAAAGTATTGGGATGGACTTTCGTCATTGACCACATACTCATTTTCCACCATAATTTGGAAATAAATTCTTCAAAAATCAGACAATATAATTTTCAGGATTTATTTTCCTGTTAACTCATAGTTGAGGTGTACCTACGGACAAAATTACAGGCCCCTCTCGTCTTTATAGTTGGGAGAGTTAGCACACTTGGAGGCTGACTAAATCATTTTTTTTGCCTCAATGTATAATCGCCATTTTACTGTTATGACTTATTATTGTTATTGCAAGATATTTAACACGTTGTTGCATTAAACTTTCTCATTAACTCACTCACTGCCAGCCATTTCCTGATCGCTAACGGCCTTCGCTGCCAGCGTTTCTCGCCGTTTTTACTGTTTTTTTAAGAGTCACAGAACGTTGCGCGCTAGGATGATGTCAACGCCAAAACTACCAAAACAAAGTGGAGACTCACCTCTTACATCAGGAAGAATCCGCGTGATTCGAGCATTATCCGTTCTTTCATAATCCGTTGTCGAATTGTGATTGGCAGACGCTTTTCCGGTTCGCACCTCACTTTTTTACAGGAACGACCCAAAACGATCTCCTAACACATGGATTTTCTGCTTCCTGATCATGTGACGTATGCGGATGAAGATCGACTTTAGAGCTGATATGTTTGTTCTCTCGGCGGGGGGGCTCGTTCCGACTCCCGCACAGTAAAAAAAATGCAAATGACGACTTTAGTCGTCATCGGCAGTGAATGAGTTAATGTCTTATTAGAACAAGTTCATATAATGAGAAACATTCTCATTAACATGAAATACCGATCCTTTATTTCTTTCCTCACAATGTTAGCAATACTCTTCCATAATTATTCATCCTGGACCAATAAATCCGATTTAAACAATTGAATGTGATATTAAAGAAATTCTGGTTGAGCCTGTGGTTTGATTCACTTCCAGGGGAACCTAATGACTACGATTCATCACAAATGGAAAGCTCCAAACGAATGCAACAAGTCTTACCAGCTTGTGTCCCACCAGACTCTCCAACGTGTTCCTGTTCAGTTTTAACAAGAGACCAGCTGTAATGTTTGAACTCATATGAGTCACTCTGGAGTCAACAGTTCAAAAGCTCTCGTACTGACGGATCTTGGACGCTGGTCAATTCAGACACACACACACACACACACACACACTCCTCACCAACTCGCCCTTTCAGGAGCCGTTCCTGAAGAGACATGAAATAAAAATGACCTTGATGACACGTTTTTTCGAAAGGCGACTTCCGGAGGAAAGCGTTGGATGAATGTTTTATGTGGTGCCTCTAAAAGTGCCAATCCCGGGTATTTCTTCATGTCAGTGCTGTGCCCCGTCAGTCCTGACAGGCTTGTTGGCTGGTGGCACGTGGCCAGCCACCAAGGGCTGCTTTCTTCCAATCCTGATCCTCATTGAACAACAGATTCAAAGCTGCTCCGGCAAACAGCAGCATCTCTTAATGTTACTAACACTTGTGCCACAAGAGCTGACGCCAACAGGTGCCTGACAGCATGCAGCTATGATGACGCAGCATCTTTAACCGGGAGGCTTTGGGTTATTTGGTATTTAAATCAGCGCATCCATTTGTCAGCCCATTTACAGAATCTTTCTGCTTAGATTTCAGAAGAGTGCAAATTTCTCGTTTCGAGCTTTTGAGGAGATGTTTTGCTGCCGTGTTCAGAAGAGCTGAGGATTAATCCCCATCGCTGAATCCTTGTAGGATGAAGTAATTCTCTCTTTTTTCCCCCTTTAGAATAAGTTCAACTCTTGTCCAGTCAGATTACAAGTCTGTGGAACAGATCGCTCGCAGAGCAGCTCACATGGTGCTGTGAATACACCAACCATTTTTACTGTTTTCTGAACGTTCCCTACTGTATGTTACTGCAGCTGTCGGTCACACACTTAAATTATGCTTTTATTTTGAAGCAATGCAGTAGAGTATACTGAACTTCCATCTTTTTACTGATATAGGTGAAATATTTGGAAAACCAGCTCTCCGTTACAAACATGACCTGAGCATGTACACATTTCCACACTTGTGGAAATAACAGTAAAAATGGCTGACTATAACGATATGCTAGTCCTCCATCTTTGATTAAAGGCACAAAGAATTATATTATTTTAGGGTATTTTTTTGATTTCATCCAGCTGATGATTGTGTTTTTTGTTTTGTTTTGTTTTTGTTAGAGGGGGAGGGAGAGGCATCCTTTACTTGAAAAAAATAAAACACATTTTACTCTGATAAATACTGTAGATTGTATAGTACAGAAGGAACAACTATAAATATGAAGATCATTGTGTATAGTCGTTTATCATTTTATCATATTTGTTTGTTCTGCAGGACCAAAATATGACACAATAGCTTTAAATCCCTTGTTTGTTTGTTTGTTTGTTTGTTTTCACAAATGGTGAAAATATTTAAATCACTTTCAAATGTTTTAGTTATTTTTTTGCACATTTTCTTTTTCTTCCAGGGCATCTTATATTGTGAATGGGCTTTAAGGGAAGTTATGTGCATGTGAAGACACTCCAGGCTCTTTTTGTGAACTTGTTTTGAAGGAAAAGGGCTGTCTCCGTTGATGCTGTCAGAGTAATTATTACATCATTATTATTTTTCACTTCTAATATATAAACACTCCTCTCCTGTTACTACAAACCCAACAATCAAGCCACAAGTGATATTGTGAAACACTACTGAAGTGTATAGCTGACTTTACTTAAGCTGTGATGCATCTAACAGAAGCGAACGTTGCAGATGGAGACACAATTTCCCTTCACTACCGTTGGTCTTTCTGTATCGTATTGGTAATATCTCACCGCTGTCTTCTCCTGTCTAAAAGACAAACACAAGCTTGCTGTTTAGTGCAGTCACATATACACCATTTTAACAGTAAAGCAGATTTTATTTGGCCATTAAAACCAGTAACCGTTTTAGCTCTATAACATGAATTACAGTAACCATAAATAGCAATATTATACTAATGTTACTATTAGTTTTACAGTAAAATGTGGTACAAAGATTTAGTTTTACAGTAACTTTACTTTACAGCAGCTAGTGGATAACTTGTGCCAGAAACAACAACAATCTACAATAATCTGAGGTTCAGTAGATAAAAAAAAAGGGTTGGCTGAGCCTTTAGATGATCTCTCACTTGAATTACTGATTACTTTTGCAGATGGTCTCATTTTGAAGCTTCCTCTGTAAACTGCAGGTGGTGGAAGGTTAGCCTCGCAAGCTGGTAAATACACCACGAAGAAACTCAGAAACAAAACAACTCATTTCAAATCTTTAAACAAATATTTAAACTTTCAAAAAGTCCATAAGCATGAAAAGCATTTCAACTGAAGTGTGTTCCAGTTATTGTTGTTTTTTAATAAATGTATCTGCCCCAGGATAGGGTGGATGTCCCACACCCCACCCGCTGGGAGGTGGTCAGCGAAGCATATTCAACTGAATCCTCTGGGATTATCGGATTGGATGGAAGGGTCAACGTCGGCAGGATACACGAAAATCTGCACAGATGGGAGAGGCGCGCGCCTGCAGATTACTTCGCTTCCATGATAGTCCCACAGCAAAGCAGACACGCGCAAATGCGATCAGCGCGCGGGGAAATTCAGAGAAAGCCAATACTGCCACAGCTGCCTCTCTTCCACACACAGACCTAGGTTCTGCTGGGACCTCGGAAAAAAGTTCGGTTTGATGTGTCTGAGCTGGCACTCACTCAGCTGATATGTTGGATATTTAACTCCAAGATGCTCAAGAACGAAGTTCATAAAAAACAAATAATAATAATCTTACCTGTTGTGTGCAGCAGGTTTATTTATGTCTTTGAGGAAATCACAGATTATTCCGTATTGTTGACAGCAAACCAAACTGTGCGCACAGACATCACTGTGGGGTGACGCTTCGGGCCAAAAGCAGAAAAATATAAAACAGCGTCTCCACTTTCTTGGCGCAGAAATATGGTCCTTACAATCGCTCCTTTCCTCCCGAGCGGTGCCGTGCCGAGCCGAGCCGCTACTTCACATCCATCCCCGGCTCTCGTCCCTGCCTCCACTGCGTCTCTCTCGGTGTCAGTGGCGCGAGTCGGTGGCGGAGCGGCGGCGTCTGGCAGGTTGCATTATATCTGGGAAAGTGAAGCCTCGTTGTGCCCACTCGCTCCGATGCGTCAACTCTTCCGCCCTCCCTTCCTAGGTCGTCCCTCCTTGAGCCGTGCTGGAGCGTGGTGCGGAGTGGAGCGGAGCGGGACGCACGTACGCGCGGCCGGCAGGATGAAAGCCAAACAAGGAAAGCGCAAAAGCGAGAGCGCTGTCTTGTCTGTCTCTCCTACCGAGCAGCCTTCTGACTGCTCCGGCCATTCAAGCGGAACAGCCTCCCTCCCTCCTGCTGCCACTCTTCCTCTCCTCCTCCCTCTTTCTCCTCCTTCCGTTGCTGCTGGGATGTCCTAGTAGTAGGAGATGATGGCTCAAATATCGAAAACAACAATCCTGTCAGCAGTCGGATACTAAAAATAACTATTTCGTTGATTTTATTATTGAAATTAAACATAAAAAGTAGTCACGGGTTGTCTGGAAGTGGGTAAGTTACAGGCTGTCTCTTAAATAAGCTTTGCTGTGTTATACCATTGGGTGGTCAGCCTGCTCATTGGGCCACAACAGAAAATGGAGACTGAACACAACTTTGAGAGCTGAAGAATGATGATTTAATTCAAACCAGCACAAGTGATGTACTTCAACTTCATAGCAGGCTTTTTGTCTAAACTCACAGGTGCAGCAAGTGCTATAAATACCATGGTGCAGTGATTGATCATGAACATGGAGAGATGCACTCGTTCCCCCTTCAAAAGGGTTCAGCTCACCATCACCAAGGCCCTCCAGTCTGCTCCAGTCAAGCTGTTAGACTGTAAAACGATGGGAGAAGGGATGGAGAAAGTATGGACTAAAGACCATTCACCTGAGTCCTCAGTCTGGGTTACTCCAAATAGTTATAAATCTGGTAACAATCAGAGAAACCACAGTCAACAACAGGTCAACAAGCAACCAGTGGCGGCACCAGGGGGGCACCATAGCTACCCCTGGATTAGTCATTGCACCCCCAAAGCACCCCCAAGGAAATATTAGATATATTTTTTTATAATTTAATTTTAATTTAACGTACAGATGTGATAATATTTAACATACAATACAAAAATAATCAGTAAATTATATAGATAGTAAAAACTTAAACCAAAACAGAAAAATTGATGTGAACCTTTGACCTCATTTTCCACCTGTGAACGAGTGAAAGGTAGAGCTAGTGGTAAAATGGATCGGTTTTTGTTGCCCATATTTCCACGGGTTCAGTCAGAAACGAATGAATGTTTGGAAGTGATCTCAGACCCACAATAAATCTGCAGATCTGGTTGAAGAGTGTCAACCCTCAACCGCCGCAGCAGTCAAGGGTTTTGCCGCTGGAAATGCTAACGTTAGCTAACCTTGCAACACTATAGAAGGTTTTCTGTGTGGCTGTATGTGTTTATGATTTCATGGAAAAGTCAGCGATTGTTCATATGTTTATGATGTATATTAATGATTGGTTCAGGTGTTGTTGAGGTTTTGTGCACGCATGTGTATCTGCTAGTGTTGAAGGTGTTTTAGAGAATAACAGGTACGCATGACCACTTCCTTCATAGCGCCCTCAATAAAAAGACTAGCTCCTTCATAGCACCTGCAGAAAAGCATTCTGGAGCCGCCACTGCAAGCAACAGACACACAGCCAGACCGCAGTAAATTATTCTACTTTTTAAACCTGAACAGAAAATCGATGAGAAGGCCACCATGAACAAACTAACTCAGACCAGCCCTCATTAAGGCTATAGGACATGGTGTCCTCCTAGCTTGAATTAGCACTAACCCTACATTTAATAAAGCCACCAAAACTGGACAACTGGACCTAACATAAAAGTGTAAACAGATGTAGAAGTTCTCAGCCATCCAGGTTTTAATAGAGTAAGCAGGTGTGCAAAAGCTGCAGTTTAGACATGCCATGGGCCAGAGTCTTGGTGATGTACAGTTGGATGTCATCTGCATAAAGATTGTATGAGATTCCTTTAAAATAGCTCAGAGTGTGCTGAAGATGGATCAGATAGAAGAGGAAAAGTAGAGGCCCCAGCACAGAACCTTGAGGGACAGAACAGTCCCCTGCATCACTGTGAGTCAGAAGGTCATTAGAAACCCCAAGAAGAGCTTTTTCAGTAGACTGAGCTCTAGAGACAAGGACTTCGGGTGGGAGAGGAGAGGCCCAAATGCAGATGTTTCTGCACCAGAACCTCTGGGATGATGTGGTAGAAGACTGAAGCAAAATCCCGGGAGAGCGGACTTACCTACCTCTACCAATACTCTATGGCTCAGTGCTGTTTTTAGGGTGCTCTTGATCACATCCTCTGATGATCTATGTGCCCTTTAGGCAAACTGATGCGGGTCCAGGGTGGGGGTGGGCAGACAGGCTCTGATTTTCTGGGAGATCAGTCTTTCAAATTTGGTCAATCCTCATCCTCATTTAGAGGACCTCAGATTTGGAGCAACCTGCCATCAACAATAAAAATGTCAACACATTTGACAACTTTTAACTCCCAGGTGAAAAAACGACTGGAAAAGAAACAGACCAGTGAACACAGATTGTTCTTTTCAACTTAACTAATTTATTTATGTCACTGTTGTGTGTGTGTGTGTGTGTGTGTGTGTGTGTGTGTGTGTGTGTGTGTGTGTGTGTGTGTGTGTGTGTGTGTGTGTGTGTGTGTGTGTGTGTGTGTGTGATGATGGTAAATATTATAAATGCTGTTATTTGATTGTCTCATAAAGTCCAGGCAATGACAAGATTTGCGAATTGGCCTCTGGCTAAAAAAAACCTCTGTACACACATGGTGTTTACCTTAAAGACCAAATTTACTCAATTTTTCAACACATCTGCAGTGTGAAATTATTGACCAGACTTGCATTAAATCAACTTTTTATTATTTCAAAGGAGACAAGGCAGTGTGAAATATCTCCCCAGCCGTCATTATCAGCTAAACAGTGATTCGCCACTCTGAAGTTGCAAGTGTGGCATTCTGGCTACAGAGGGCGGTGGGGTCTCAGTGACTTTTTATTAACCATGTAAAGGGTTAATGAAAAGGGCTCATTTAGGAGTTGACCAATCACGTGCATCTTAAGCATGGAGAGAAAGGGAGAGCAAGAAAGGAAAAAAAAATGACTAGGTCACTTCAAAGAGCCGGCTCTAAGAGCCATTTCATTTGCCAACATAACATCACTACAGCATACAAAACTAGTGAATTATTGGTGCTTGCAGATGCAAGGCTGGAATAATAGTCAGTCTTTTCAGATTAGACAATTTTCTGATAGAATTTCCAACTTTCCCTTAGGGCAATTAAAGATATTTGCAGCTTGTCCTTTTGCTATTTTCTTTCTCACTTCCTGCATTCCTTTCTTGCAGCCCGATTGTGGTCAATTGACCACAAGATAGCAGCCCGATAACCCTTCTTTGTTCAAAGAGGCACGGTAGTATCCAAAGTGTTCAGACAGGTCTCCTTAAAATAACCTAGGAGTCCCTCGGGGCGACGGTGGCACAGGAGTTAAGTGCTTGCCCCGTAATCGGAAGGTTGCAGGTTCGAGTCCTGCTCAGTCTGTCGTTGTGTCCTTGGGCAAGACACTTAACCCACGTTGCCTGCTGGTGGTGGTCGGAGGGACCGGTGGCGCCAGTGCTCGGCAGCTTCGCCTTTGTCGGTGCGCCCCAGGGCAGCTGTGGCTACATTGTAGCTCATCCCCACCAGTGTGTGAATGTGTGTGTGAATGGGTGAATGACTGATTGTGTTGTAAAGCGCATTGGGGGGTTCCAGGACTCTAGAAGGCGCTATATCAAATACAGGCCATTTACCTCCAAAGAAGACCAGTCACCTGATTAAGGCTCTGCATTACTAAATAATGAGAACTGTCCAGAAGTAGCAGAGTTCATTGGACGAGCGGGTTGTCCAGTAATCAGAAGGTTGGAAGTTCAATTCCGGCTCTGACCAGAGAATGCTGCTGTTGCTTCCTTGGCCAAGGCACTAACCCACCTTGCCTGCTGATGGTGGTCAGAGGGACTGGTGGCTCCTGTGCTCGGCAGCCTCACCTCTGCCATTGCACCCCAGGGCAGCTGTGGCTACATCGTAGCTCATCCCCACCAGCGTGTGAAGGTGTGTGTGAATGGGTGAATGACATTGTGTTGTGAAGTGCCTTGGGGGTTCTAGAACTATACGAAGGCACTGTACAAATACAGGCCATCTACCATTTTCCATTGTGTTCCTCCACAATGTTTAAAATAAAGTCTAAACATACAGGAAGACGTTTTTAGAATCAAACTTGAATGTAAATAAAATTACTTTTTGAAAATGAAATTTAATTGATTGAAACAAATATTTAGCTAACTCACAAAATTAGACTGTTCTAAAATGAGAGAGAGTGGCCTTCCAAAATAAAGCCGAAGAGATCCCTGAACATATCAATGTTTTTGACGAAAGATTTTTGGAGTTTTTAAACCACGAATCATTATTCAGTGTTTCTGTCTGAGCTCTCTCTCATGGTTCTTACCCATCTTCGACCCCTGGTGAGTTCATTACCGAATCTGCTTTCTGCCTGCCTACCAGCTTGGCACTGGGGTGGATGGAGCCATCATCCCTCTCCCACACAGAGCTCTAACACTGTGGGCCCCAACATTTTTTTTTTTTGCATTGCAGGACAACTTTTCCATGGGCCAGTCAGTGGGGTGTTGGTGGTGTCGGTGGGTTAATCATGCATCAACACTATTCAATAAAGTACATATTAAAACAGATTTTTTTTCACATACATTATATTTTAATGGTGTGGATTACTTGTTCACTTGGTCTCTAGTTGGAATGAATGCCTTTTAGCTTGTATCTATTAAAATAACGCTCAGATGAGCATGTATCAGAAGTATAAGTCAGCTGGAGGAGAAAATGGCGTCAGATAGCTTATTACCTGATATATGGAAATCTTCCCTCTGACTGGATAACAACAGGACTGTACTACTGGCTGTTTGCTCTGCAACATTGATGTCTGTCTCCACAACGTTGATATTTTATCTTTAGAAATAACACAAGACTGGAGGAGTTCTGCTGTGTGGTGGAGCTGCTAATGCTAATGGTTAGCTTCTACTAGACAAAACGTGCTCTGCTGACTCCTGGACGCTAAACCAACAACAACCTTCCCCGTTACAGTGTGACATATCTGTCAGGCTTTTCTAATCCAAGCATTTCACCTTCTATTTTCTGTCAGAAGCTAATGCAGGAGATGGGTGTAGGAGACTATTTCATGTTCAGCCTACA